GATACTATCAGCTAATCTATTCTACTATGGATTCATGCTTGTTGTTGTCTTTCCACGTCTTATGGAGCGTTGTGTAAATGACATGCAGCTACCACCACCTAGTGGAGGTAATTTGTATTATCTCTTGCACAATTGCAATAGGCCCAGGTGGAAACATTTACATTTACATTTACGTCATTTAGCAGACGCTCTTATCCAGAGCGACTTACAAATTGGTGCATTCACCCTATAGCCAGTGGGATAACCACTTTACAATAAAAATGTTTTATTTATTTTTATTTATTTATTTATTTATTTTTTTTTGGGGGGGGGTAGAAGGATTACTTTATCCTATCCCAGGTATGACACAATAGTTATTATCTGTATTTGAGTTAATTTAAGTAAAAATTAGCCAGCAAATCAAACAGAAATTCCAATCTAGTTTATTTTGATGATGTTTAATAAGTGTATGTCAAAATACACATTTCTCATGAACAATGACAGGACAGACGAATGGGATTATTATTGCTGTCAATCCCAGTTCTAAACTCCTGGTGGCTCCTTAATGGTGTTTACTTAACCCTCATACCAAAGCACGTGTTCATTTAAGCTACTGTAGCTCAAAGTTTGTCGGAAGAAAAAACAGTTCAGCCTTGCTTCAATGTTATTATTTTTTTTGCCAACTTCCTACTAGATCAGCTAGTCCAATATTCAACACCCTAAAGGAAGACCTAACCTGGGTACTGTCCCTGAATTCACTACATCATAGTCTTGCCAAACAAAACTAATTAGACAATGACAAGAATTTGGCAAAGCAGATGCACACTGGCACTAACGTAGAACAGTGGCGGCTCCTGAAAAAATTCTCAGGAGGGGCAATTTTTCTGATGATTTAGGTGACCTACACACGTGCACGAGTCCGTGCACGCGATTCCAGATATCTTTACCTCTGAATAAACTGCCTTTATTATACCATATCCACCCTGTCCAAAGTCTCTACTTGGTCTCAGTTCTCCAGTAAACTTGTGATTATCAACAGTACACAACGGTAACAAACAATTGGGGGAACTCACGGGGCAGATAGTAACCACTTAAAAGGAAGCGATTCCCAAACCTTCCATAACAAAGCCATCACCTACAGAGAGATGAACTTGGAGAAGAGTCCCCTAAGTAAGCTTGTCCTGGGCCTCTGTTCACAAACACAAACAGACCCCACACAGCCCCAGGACAACAACAACAACAACAACAACAACACAATTAGACCCAACCAAATCATGAGAAAACAAAAAGAGAATTACTTGACACATTGGAAAGAACAAACAAAAAAAACAGAGCAAACTAGAATGCTATTTGGCCCTAAACAGAGAGTACACAGTGGCAGAATACCTGACCACTGTGACTGACCCAAACTTAAGGAAAGCTTTGACTATGTACAGACTCAGTGACCATAGCCTTGCTATTGAGAAAGGCCGCCGTAGGCAGACCTGGCTCTCAAGAGAAGACAGGCTATGTGCACACTGCCCACAAAATGAGGTGGAAACTGAGCTGCACTTCCTAACCTCCTGCCAAATGTATGACCATATTAGAGACACATATTTCCCTCAGATTACAGCGATCCACAAAGAATTCGAAAACAAACCCAATTTTGATAAACTCCCTTATCTACTGGGTGAAAAACCACAGTGTGCCATCACAGCTGCAAGATTTGTGACCTGTTGCCACAAGAAAAGGGCAACCAGTGAAGAACAAACACCATTGTAAATACAACCCATATTTATGTTTATTTATTTTCCCATTTGTACTTTAACTATTTGCACATTGTAACAACACTGTATATATACATAATATGACATTTGAAATGTCTTTATTCTTTTGAAACTTCTGAGTGTAATGTTTACTGTTAATATTTATTGTTTATTTCACTTTTGTTTACTATCTACTTCCCTTGCTTTGGCAATGTTAACACACGTTTCCCATGCCAATAAAGCCCTTAAATTGAATTGAATTGATAGTAAGGTCGCAATGACACAGAAAGCAGTTCAATGTCGGGGTACAGAGTCGCTCTCTTACCAGGATCGCGGTCCGCTCTGACCAGGGTGAAGGTGGCCGGCTCCACTTCTCTGTCCGGGACTCATCCAGCCAAGTCTCCCAGCTGTATTGGGATTCAGCTGCCAGCAGCGTTTTCATTATTTAGTCCGTTCGTAGCGGGTATGTACACGATCAACAAGATCAGTCCAAAACCAACCACTGGAAATCCATGGTTGGCAGAATGTTTGTAAACTAAGTCTACAAATTAAAAACATAAAATAACGCCGCACTGCAGGTCGCAACAGAGACGCTGGTAGCCGCCATTGTCTTAGTTACGTTCAACGTTACGTCACGTATGACGAAAGCGCGTAAGTGCAAGCCCACAGACACCCATAGAGAATGTATTGAAAGCTTTGAAATGTGAAAAAAATAGATTTTACATGACAGGCTATGAGAGACTTCTGGGCGATTTTCAACTTGACTGAAATCGCCCCAAAAACGGGCGGGGCCATTTGAAGCACGACTTTAGCCTGATTTGACATTTAGTGGCTGGCAGATCAGACGTGAACACTGATAACTGCTGTTGCCGTGATATAATTGATTAGAAAAAAAATCCCTTCCTTTTCCCGTTTGGCAGTGCGTCGCCCATATCGCCCTATTGAACAAGCCGTCCCTGACGTAGAACCATATCTATACAGTATTCACTGTAGGTTTTTCAATTCAGTTTACTGTGTCTTGAACGGAATGCCTATTTCAATCAACTGTAAAATCAATTACAGGTTCTTGCAAATCCAGGGTTATTGAGTGCTGTCTTAAGGACATATTTACAAAGCTTTTGTTCCACTATTTACAGAGCCAAGTCACTGAAAACTGGTGCTATGTCCCAAACGGCACCTTATTTACCTTAGGGCACTGGTCAAAAGTAGTGCAGTATATAGGGAATTTGGGATGCATTTGGGATGTCATTTGGGACGCAACCATGGATATTTGTCATTTTTCATACTTTAAGATGAATGTTGTAAGATAATGAAGGATTTCAAAGGGGATGAACAGGTAATCACATGATCTTCCATTTTCTCCTACAGACATGCCACCCATGATGGACGTAAAGGGTGTGCCAGGGCTCCAAGGAAAACCTGGACCCAGAGGCCCAACTGGGCCATCAGGACTTCCGGGAAAACCAGGACTGGGAAAACCAGGTCTCAATGGCCTGCCTGGGCCTCAGGGGCCTCCAGGCTTTCCGGGCATTGGGAAGCCCGGACTTCCGGGTCTCCCAGGAAAGGAGGGAATGAAGGGGATGCCTGGGAATAATGGCGAGGTTGGACTCCGGGGTGAACCAGGTCCCAGAGGACTTCCAGGTCAACCAGGTCTCCCTGGGCCAGCTGGCCTGTCTCTTAATGGCAAACCTGGCCTTCCCGGCGGGAGGGGCCAACCTGGATCTCGTGGAGAACCAGGAGAGAAAGGTGGGCCTGGAAATCCTGGGGAGCGTGGACTCAAGGGAGAGAATGGCAATGGGAAGCCTGGGTTGCCAGGAACCAGGGGCCCCAACGGACTCATGGGCCTCCCAGGGCCAGCTGGTAACCAGGGTGTGGGAAAACCAGGACTTAACGGGCTTCCTGGTCCGTCTGGGCCTAAAGGAGACCAGGGGCTCCCAGGAGGAATAGGAGAGCCAGGGGAGGCTGGCAGTCCAGGGCCGCAAGGCCAGCCAGGGCCCGTCGGATTGGGCAAGCCTGGTAAAGATGGATTGCCTGGAGGACCAGGTCAACTTGGGCCTAAAGGTGAGGCAGGGCAGAGGGGTTCTCCAGGGTTTCCTGGAACTCCTGGCTACGGCAAACCTGGTCTACCAGGGACAAAGGGAGACAAGGGCCTTTTCGGGGGACCAGGCGTCCCTGGAGATAAAGGGGACCCTGGGATGAAGGGGCAGCCAGGAGACATGGGCCCAGATGGACAGCCAGGACCACCAGGAATACAGGGCCCCATGGGGCTTTCAGGAAAACACGGCATGCCTGGCCTGAAGGGAGAGTTGGGTCCGCAGGGGCATCCAGGTCTGCCAGGGATCAGAGGGGACCAGGGTCCCAGTGGTCTGTCTGGAAAACCCGGCATTCCTGGAGACAAAGGCCTCCCGGGCCCTAACGGGTCTATCGGAAAACCTGGGCCCAAAGGCGAGGCTGGGCACATAGGCCTGCCAGGAAACCCAGGTCTTTTAGGCAATCCTGGACCAAAAGGGGAGTCTGGGTTCGTTGGGTCTCCAGGACCAAGAGGCCAGTCTGGTATCCCTGGTCTACAGGGGCCTTCAGGGCCAATGGGGCCACAGGGTATCCCAGGTCTGAAGGGCGAACCTGGGCTGCCGGGTCTTCCAGGGCTGGGCAAGCTCGGAGAAAAGGGAGTTCCAGGTCCCCAAGGTCCCCCAGGAAAGCCAGGCAACTCTGGACTCAATGGCAACCCCGGCCCCCCTGGGCCACCTGGGCCCCCTGGCCCTGCAGGAAATGGACAAACCGTAGTGGCTGGGCTAACGGATTCAGGGCTGGGCGGGGACGAGGTACCAGACGGGAGGTACGGAAAACCACAGTTTGGCAGTGCAGATCTCTCCACCACCGTGGCACCCGCGTTTACCGCCATCCTCACTACGGCCTTCCCTCCCTCTGGGATGCCCATCAAGTTTGACAGGACCCTGTACAACGGGCAGAATGCCTACAACCCCGCCACCGGTATCTTCACCAGCCCCATGTCCGGAGTCTACTACTTTGCCTACCACGTGCATGTAAAGGGACTCAGTCTGTGGGTGGCGCTGTACAAGAACAATGTTCCAGCCACATACACCTACGATGAGTACAAGAAGGGCTACATGGACCAGGCGTCCGGTAGCGCCGTGCTTGAGCTGAAGGAGAACGACCAGGTGTGGATGCAGATTCCCTCGGATCAGGCTAACGGGCTCTACTCCACCGAATACATCCACTCGTCCTTCTCAGGGTTCCTGCTCTGTCCCACATAACGCCCTGCTAGTCAACAATCCCCTAGGGTGCCCCCTGGTGTCCCCATATCATAACACCGGCAGCCATAACATAATAACACCACCTGTTATTCAACATCAACAACGACAGAAAATACTTTGTGAACGGAAGATGGAAAGAGTTAAAAAGCAGGAGAAGGATACTTCATGCTGTGCTCTGTGTTTTTATCTCTTTCTTTCAAATGTCTGTTCATTTTGTTTTGTTTATGTTTTTTTAGCTTATATTATTATTATTATTGTCATAATTGTTATTATTATTATTTTGTCGTCGTTGTCAGTATTGTTGTTGTTTATTAGATTCAGACTATTAAGTGCCTTACTTTGTCATGTCTAAGTAACAGTTATTATGCTGTGTTCATAACCAAGTGGGAAGGTGGTAAATACCAGTTGGATGCAATCACGTGCTTTGAACTCATTGAGAAACACTGATTGGTTAATGGCCAACAAGCTGCGTCAACCATAAATTAAAAGTACAGCTATTATGCTTGTAAAAAATTATAGTGTTTAAAAACCATATTAATAGCTTGCTTTTTATAAATAATGTTTTGTTGTTGCATTTAACTGCCAAAAATGCTGTTATCATTTCCTTAGTAGTTGACATCAGAGGTCAGCATGTGGGAGAAGTCGGAGCTCAGAGATGATAGACGAGTTTCCCACTAGTAATTTCCAGTTGGAGGGGCATGCAAGTGGATTTTTCCCAGTCGTATGTGGTAAATACCACCTTCCCACTTGGTTATGAATGCAGCATTAGACCTACCCACGTGACTGCACATCCTACCCAAATGCTCTGACATCAGTAGGATGACATTGTCAGACCCTGGGGCTCTGATTGGCTCCCCTGGCTGCAGTCACTTCCTGCACAAAAACCTCCCACTTCCTCCCATGTGCGTGTCCTTCCTATTTAAATCAATATTTCACATAAAGATTTACCATTACACATGCAGTATGAAGAATGTATTCAATACGTGAAATAATATCCAATACTTTTCACTTTACTTTTTATTTTTACCTGTTATAGGGATTGATGGATCATTGTTTATCAGTATGCTCTGATGTTTTGACAGTCAACTTCCAGTTGTCTGCTGGATGCTAATTTCCTGTTTTCTATGAGAGGCCGGTGCTGAAAGCATTGCTGGTCATACTAGAAGCTGACGGTTTTTGGATCATGGCTATTACTTGATCAATAAGAAGTCATTGCTGTACCCAACTTGTGTAGATCCACACAAATCAGGGGACATATAGAGATTGTAAAACCCCCTTAGCTGTATACAAAATCTGTAAGTAACCATGCTTTCCCCCCTTTTTCCCCTTCTGTGAAAAAGCATCAATATACAAACCAGTAACCTAAAAAATGATACATACTGTATATAGAACACATTAAATAGACAAAGAAATACATCTATAAATAAATACATGTGTAAGTTAATCATTATATTAATAAATACATATGCGTCAGCTAATGGACAGAAAGTGTGGGCCAAATGCATTAGGATCAATGCCATGTTTCCCTGCATCGATCCATTCTGTGGGTATTCCCCTTTACCACGTGCACTGCAGCTCCCATGTCACCCTCATTACGTGCTCTATGGCACACATATACCGATGACATCACTGCTTTTTGTGCCCGCTAACGCCATGGCTGCGGCCGAACAATCAATGCACTGGTGCCTTTCACATTAACATTTAGAGTGAACATTCTGAGGGATAGCTCACATTAAAAGCCTCATCCTGTCTACAAACTACAAATCTGTCAGCATTTCACAAATCAACAACTGGCTAGAGGCCATCCAACCTGTTTCTACAGAATAACCCTTTCAAGGTTCAGATCAAACCCAATGGGTGCAGTTCAGATGATCTCCTAAATTGTACACAACGTATTTGGTGCTATAGTTATTATCTCATTGTGTTGATAAACGTACAGTAACAATTTATAATCCTCCGTAAGCCTCAGTATAACATAAAGGCTATCCATTCATTTTCCAACTAAAGATACATCCACAACTAAAATGGTTTATCCGTTGCTTGGTTTGATGGAACATCTGGTGTTGCCACAGGATATTCTTAGCGGAAGTCTTCTGACAGAATATGAAAGAAGGTTAACTTTCGGAAATGAGCATGCATGAATCTCCATAATAAGTAAAGGGAGAGAGAGAGAGAGAGAGGCCCTGTGTTTGTGAAATCGTCATTGCATAACAGTTAACATGACTCTGTTATTTCTGGGAGAAACGGTGGGACAAAGGTGAGAATGGTGTTTGCTGTGTGAGTTCTCCTAGTGCAGTTCAGTGTTTCTGTCTGTATCTATTGTTTATTTTACTCCCAGCCGTTAACACTTCACCTGGGTGACAGATCAACTGCAGAGACCATGGACCATACTTTCTGGGTCATTTGGGAACATGCACTTCTAGTCAATATTCCACCACAGTTTTGAATTGATGATCTGATGCGGTTCAAATAGGATGTGTGTGTCTTCACGAAGGTTAAATAAATGTACATGTATGGCCCTATAGCTTGGGCAATGTCGCAAAGATAATAATTTGGTTTGGTAGTAGTAGTGGGCTACACATCATGCAAAGAGGAGAAACGTCAAATAGAGACGTGGGAAATGTATTGAAAGTAAGACGAAAGTAATGTTGGAATAAAAACATAAAGGAACTGAGGGTAGACATGGGAGAAACTGGGACGGAATGAACGGGACAATCTATCTTGAAGACCTTCATTTTCCAGTGACCTTGGGCTCAAGGTTACATCATACAGTATATCACACTTCCTCGCTGTAAGTTCATTGAAGGGGCATCAGATAGTATGTTTTCCATCATTAGATCTATTTACCACTGGTCATAATTGGTGAGAATACACCATTTAGACTGCCCTGATTCTATTCATGGTGGAAATAGCAGAACATTAGGTAGCACCCATTTATTATCCTAGATTTTGAGTTCTCTTTCTATAACACTACCCAAGAGTATAAGTTGTATTTAGATTAGAACCTCAGGCCAACGTTCAATCAAAAATGGGTATCCAGGTTCCTGGGGTAAACAATAAGTATAATGCATGTAGCGTTATTGCTCTGTTGTCTGCATATTAATCCAAACATGCTGTACTGCTGTGCCTGAAGAATGATGTTTTTGACTTATCCTGGAGAAACGGTCATCGGTTTTGACTGAGTAGAGCCTCGTGTTTCACATTCAGTATTTTAGGTTTATGTAATGCAATCTCACTAGTCTCTGTGCCCCTTTTCCTCTCATCAGAACCTGAACATTAAGCAAAGTTTGACTATCATTATTGTTGTGTGAGTCTACTAGACAATTCAAGACTCGTTCTTTTGCCTTGCAAAAGTATTCATCCCCCTTGGCGTTTTTTTCTATTTTGTTGCATTACAACCTGTAATTTAAATGGATTTTTATATGGATTTCATGTAATGGACATACACAAAATAGTCCAAATTGGTGAAGTGAAATGAAAAAAAAAAACTTGTTACAAAAAATTATAAAAAAGAAATAACTGAAAAGTGGTGCGTGCATATGTATTCACCCCCTTTGCTATGAAGCCCCTAAATAAGATCTGGTGCGACCAATTACCTTCATAAGTCACATAATTAGTTAAATAAAGTCCACGTGTGTGCAATCTAAGTGTTACATGATCTGTCACATGATCTCAGTATATATACACCTGTTCTGAAAGGCCCCAGAGACTGCAACACCACTAAGCAAGGGGCACCACCAAGCCAGCGGCACCATGAAGACCAAGGAGCTCTCCAAACAGGTCAGGGACAAAGTTGTGGAGAATACAGAAACTTTGAACATCCCACGGACCACCATTAAATCCATTATTTAAAAATGGAAAGAATATGGCACCACAACAAACCAAGAGAGACCCGCCCACCAAAACTCACAGACCAGGCAAGGAGGGCATTAATCAGAGAGGCAACAAAGAGACCAAAGATAACCCTGAAGGAGCTGCAAAGCTCCACAGCGGAGATTGGAGTATCTGTCCATAGGACCACTTTAAGCCATACACTCCCCAGAGCTGGTCTTTACGGAAGAGTGGCCAGAAAAAAAGCCATTGCTTAATGAAAAGAATAAGTAAAACACGTTTTGTGTTCACCAAAAGCCATGTGGGAGACTCCCCAAGCATATGAAAGAAGGTACTCTGGTCAGATGAGACTAAAACTGAGCTTTTTGGCCATCAAGGAAAACGCTATGTCTGGCACAAACCCAACACCTCTCATCACCCCGAGAACACCACCCCCACATCTCTGGATGACTGAAACAGGTTTCCCTCAAGAATTTCCCTGTATTTAGAGCCATCCATCATTCCTTCAGTTCTGACCAGTTTCCCAGTCCCTGCTGATGAAAAACATCCCCACAGCATGATGCTGCCACCACCATGCTGTGGGGATGTTTTTCATCAGCAGGGACTGGGAAACTGGTCAGAACTGAAGGAATGATGGATGGCTCTAAATACAGGGAAATTCTTGAGGGAAACCTGTTTCAGTCATCCAGAGATTTGAGACTGGGGACAGAGGTTCACCATCCAGCAGGACAATGACCCTAAGCATACTGCTAAAGCAACACTCGAGTGGTTTAATGGGAAACATTTAAATGTCTTGGAATGGCCTAGTCAAAGCCCAGACCTCAATTCAATTGAGAATCTGTGGTATGACTTAAAGATTGCTGTACACCAGCGGAACCCATCCAACTTGAAGGAGCTGGAGCAGTTTTGCCTTGAAGAATGGGCAAAAATCCCAGTGGCTAGATGTGCCAAGCTTATAGAGACATACCCCAAGACACTTGCAGCTGTAATTGCTGCAAAAGGTGGCTCTACAAAGTACTGACTCTGGGGGGGTGAATAGTTATGCACGCTCAAGTTTTCTGTCTTTTTGTCTTATTTCTTGTTTGTTCCACACACACAAATATTTTGCATCTTCAAAGTTATAGGCATGTTGTGTAAATCAAAATTATACAAACCCCCAAAAAATCAAT